CTGTAAGCCATCGAAGTAAAGGATGTTTTCTGTATATATTTAAGGGAGCCCCATGAATTGCTGTTCAGACTCCTTAAACCTGTTCATTTACAACAAGGCTAATATCTTGCTGGGAAAAAATAACCCTTGTTTTGCATGCTGCAAGCCAGCATTACTTTGTTCTTTGACTGGTATTGCTCGGAAACACATTTTATACTCCCTTTGAGCAAATGAATGGTTCCATACACTGAGGGGAAACACATTAACGATGTTTAAATCATCTCCCCCTGTTTATTGATCTGTGGGCGCTCCAGATTGCTTGCTTGTTCAGGACTCTCACTACCCCAGCTTTGCCTTTGGGTCTGAGCTGCAGTCACTGTGGGTTATCTGCATTTTTTTTAATGTTCCATCTCAAGGCTTTTGTATTATACTTTTGAAAGGGCTCCTCACTTTACTACACAATAAGGAATTTAATCTTCCCAGTTCCTGATCATTTGTTTCTGTTCCTGATTGCCTGTGTTGTTCACCTGTTCTGTGTTTGGATCTTTCTGACTCCCCGGCATCTCCCTGACCACGAGTTCATCCACCGTGTGCCTTCACATCCATTTTCTAGAGCGTGCTCTTTTGTCATGGTTCTGACTCATTTCCTTGGTCCAAGGGCTTCAGTGTTCTCATGATGCATGAGAAATTATGTCAAGATGCTTTTAGCAAGATGTACAGAATCTCGTTTAAACTGAATCAGGCAGTGAAGGCAATCAATTGGCTCAAATTTTTGAAACATTTGAAAGGATCAATACAACAATGTGTCCTGTTTCCTGTAGACTCTCCCATCTGCTCTTTACAAGTGTTGGCTTCGGGGGCCAGAGAGACCTTGAGTTTAATCCCCAGTACTGAAAGTAAAATAACAAGAAAACCAATTTGATCTCATGATATACTAGCTAGAGGGAAGCTTCCGGTCACAATCTGGTCTTGAAGCTTCCTCATTCAGGTTGGCAAGGTCCCTAATCATTTGTTCTAATCTTTGAAGACCTGCTGACTTGAGAATGGGGTGAAAATACACCAATTTTCTTAGGTAAATTAGACTCTGCCCCCTACTTCTGGACTGAGGCCATCCTGTTTCACACTGTTACCTCCACACTGGGAAAGGGAACTCGGCAAGAGTTGGGGTGAGCTCTCAACATTTTGTGGGAAAGATTGAGCTTTCTTTAAGTTCTCTTTAGTTTTCTGACCTAGCTCTGGTCACTTGAAATGGGCAACAACAGGGGTATTTATGCCACGGAAGCTGGCCACTGATACACACTGGGGCATTTGTTCAACTGGCAGGCATGTTGTAATGCATGTAAACAAGCAGCAATCATTTTAACGGGTGTCTCTGACTTTGGAATCCCACACATCACTGCACTTGTTGGTCTTAAACAATGGTTCTATTGAGATATAGTTCACATGCCACCGAACTCCTGCCCTTTGAGTGTTTGGCTTGTTTCACTTTGAGGAATGTTTTCACTCACGCCATAGCATCCATCGGTGTTTTATTTCTCTTGGTACCAAACAATATCTGTTTTCCATCCATCAAGAGATGCCATGTGAGTTACTGACACCCAGTTGCAACTACAGTTCTTCTTTTATTAAGAATTTTTTTAAATAAATCTTTTCACATTTTACATAGTTATCCCTGTTCCCACTCCCTCTTCTCCTCCTACTCCACTCCACCCCCAAGCACTCCACAGAAAGGGTCAACAAAGTCTGACCCTTCACTTGGAGGCAAAACCAAGGCCCTCTCTCCTATATCTAGGCTGAGCAAGATATCCCTCCAAAAAGAATGTACTCCCAGACACCAGTTCAAGCACTAGGGATAAATCCTGGTTCCACTGCCAGTGGTCCCACAGGCTACCCAAGCCTCACAACTGTCCCCCACATTCAGTGGGCCTGGTTTGATCCTATGATTACCCCGCTATCAGTCCAGAGTCAGTGAACTTTCACTAGCTCAGGTCAGGTGTTTTTGTGGGTATCACCATTATGGTCCTGACCCATTTGCTCATATTATTGCTCCTCTCTCTCTTGGGCTGGTCTCAACTGAAGAATGGATAAAGAAAATGTGATACATTTTATAAAATGAAGTACTACTCAATGGTAAAAAAAAAAAAAAAAAAAAAAAAAAANAAAAAAAACAATGACATCTTGAAATTTGTATGCAAATAGATGGTACTAGAAAAAAAACATTCTGAGGTTAGATAGACAAACATGGTATGTACTCACTCATAGTGGATATTAGGCGTAAAGCAAAGGATAACCAGCCTATAGTCTACAATCCCAGAGAAGCTAGGTAATAGGAGAACCCTAAGAAAGACATACATGGATCCCCCTGAGAAGGAGAAACAGAAAAGACCTCCTGAGAAAATTAGGTGGGGGGAGAAGGGAGTCTGGAAGAGGAGGGGGAGGGGATTGGGACCAGATGAGGAGAACATGAGGGAATGGGATGCTCAAGGGGAAAGTGCAGTGAAGGAGAGAAAGGAAAGAGAAATCTTGATTGAGGGAGCCATTAAAAGACTAGCAAGAAACATGGCACTAGAAAAACTCCCAGGAATCCACGAGGATAACCCCAGCGAAGACTCTAAGCAACAGTAGAGAGGACGCCTAAACTGGCCTTCCCTGTAATCAAATTGATGACTACCTTAATTGACATCATCAACCAGCAACTGATGGAAGCAGATGCAGAGATCTACAGCCAAGCACTGGGCCGAGCTACCAACTACAGTTCTTAAATCCATTCTTGAGATCACCAAATGCAACAATCCGGAGAGAAAGCCCTGCACCTCACTTGGGCTAAACAATAGAGCTGTCCCTGGTTGGTGGTGTGAATGTGGGTGAGCTAGACCAAGGGGGTGAGAATAGGAGAATTGGCCCGCTTCCTGGCTGTCTGCTGCATTGAGTGAGCTAGCCAAAGCAGTGCTGAAAAGCTCTCCCCCATGATGGCAATGAGGGAAAGCTAGCAGCTGACTAACCCAGCTACCACCCCACCCCAGAACCAGGTAGCCCACCCCCAACCCACCTCATCTGTGAACTGCTAGAGTATGCAAAGGAGCTGGGCCTGCCAGATCCAAAGCTGCAGGATCTCCATGACACAAGGCAACAACAGGAGATCCAAGAGGAGTTCCAGTGAGGGCTCGTTATCTTTAGTGTTAGCAGAAACCAAAGGCCTTGAAACTGACCCATGGGTCAATTCAATGAACACTTGCAAGTAAAGGTATATGAACTAAAGGGTAAACGTGTGACTCACTGGGACACACTAGAGCTTCCATGCCAAGAGTTTTGTTGTTGTTGTTTTCACTTTTAAATTCTGTTTTGGGGGTAGGCTACAAGGGCAGAGGGCAGAAACAGGGGGACAGAGAGATGAGAGGGATTGGGATGTATGACATGAAATCCACAAAGAATCAATAAAAAGTTTTTTTAAAGTACAGTATTTTATGCCTCTATAATATACCTTTTAATACCTATATTGCTAGAATTATTTCTCTAAGATATACCACTCTGACTTATCAGAAAAAATACCTCAAAAGAAAACATTACCTCTCTCTGCCTATGAAATGCCAAAAAGACACACAGTTCTTGCATTTGAAACGCTCTTTAGTTTGACCCCAGTAAGGAAAGGAATGAGAAAATTCTGTTTCCTCTGAATGGACAGCTTGGGCCAATAATACAAAATGTCATTTAAAGTTCTCTTATGTGACTGATGGACTATGTATCCCTCCATCCCTCCAGTTAGCCTTCAATCCATCCAACTAATCAACCAACCAACCAGCCAACCAACCAACCAGCCAACAAACCAACCAACCAACCAGCCAGCCAGCCAATCAACTAACCAACCAACCAACCAACCAACCGAAAATCCCTCCACCCTGAGAATAGCACACAGTGGCAAAAGCCAAAGTCAAAACCATGTAGAACAGCATCATTGATACATCGTATGGCTCTATGATGTCATAGTTTATGCTTTTGGAAAAACACTGGGTATTGAGTCAGACAGATCTGGTTTGTAACCAGCCTCATCTGCTTAGCACTGGCTTCTTTACCCTCTCTCCAAGGGCTTTAAGAAAATCTTATTTAGGTGTAAAATGGGAGTAAGAATCAAACCCCAGTATCCCATTATTGGATCAGAAGACATCCACTCTAAAGTACTGTGCTTAGTCTGTAACAGGCACTCAACAGATAAGTGCACACTGTGGTTGAACATATGGTTAAAATGTCAATGTACAAAGAAATCTAAGATGAGAGTATCTTTGGTGTTCTTTGATTGTTTCACAGCTTGAGGGGTTCCATTTCCACCTTGCTCTGGTGTTTTATAATTAGAACTGATTTAAAGCAGAGGTCAGGTGATGGGTTTTGATCAGGCTTTATGTTGTGTATCTGTCATCTCTCCTGGTACGGTCGGAAAGAACCAGTGCTTTCTTGGAAAATGGCCAACGATAGCATCATATTTTATCACTATAAATATTTTTAATGAAGTAGCCTAACGATAAGCTTCTTAAACTATATTGGGCTGATTTGAGTCAAATTTCTCATAGGAATAAACCTTGGAGATTGGCATTTACCATTGTGGGAAGCATGATTTAATAATTATTAAAGATTTAACACGAGATACTGTTCTTCAGAATAATCCTGACTTGTCAATAAAAGATATTGAAAGTAGTTAATCCTAATTACTTTTGTTTTCTTTAGATTATCATAATGCTTAAATTGGCCTCCATGCTTGTACTTAGTTTAGAAAATTTGTACATGCACAATAAGGTCCATTTTCACAGTCTTATAAATCATAACACTGTGAGCTAGATTCTTCTTTCAGGGTTTGAACTACTTATAATTGCCTAGCCAGTGTTTGGTGGTTCTTCATTGAGACATTTGGTAAAACCAAACTAATCAGCGGTTGAAAATTCACCTTTAGTCGTTAGAGCCAATTTTTGGAGCTTGATCCTTTGAATGTATGGTTCAGCCACTGAATATTGTTTCTTTTTTTCTCTTCGTAGGCTTGTCCGCCTCAAGAAGAGTACTCCACAGTCTACAGGAAGTGCCGTTCACAGTTCACAGACCTAAATGGCTCCAAAAGATTTGGAATCAACACATGGCATGATGAGAGTGGGATTTATGCCAATTTAGAGGCAAAACAAAAGCTCTATTCATTGGTTGACAATCCTATTGTCCCACGTTAAAAGGCAATATGTATGCCATCAGCATCTCAGGCTAATGAAAAATAACAATTGTAGCAGCTAATAATTTTCTTTAATAAATACAAAGTCTTTCAATCTAAGGAAATGTTTATATTCATATTCTCGTGAGCAACCCTATATTTCCCCAAATTTAGTATGTGTACCACGAAAGTGAGTCACACTACTCCAGAATATATTTTTGACTGGCTTTCCTTGTTGTATGGACTATGTATTTCTTTCATTGCTATAAAAATGGTTAGAACTAGCACTATCCAACTTGTGATTGTTTAGCATGTAGCTTATTTTACTTATATTTGTTTATTACTTTTATTAATTTTTTGTTTTTATAACCCTACCAAAGTTTCCCCTCCCCTCCTCCTTTCCCAGTCCCTCTCCCCACCTCCTCCCCATCTTTGCTTCCTCCGGTTTATCTTCATAAAGGGACTCTTCTCCCAGAAATATCTGCCAGCATGGTATAACACTGTGCGATGAGACTAGGCACCTCCTCTCCTATTAAGGCTGAACAAGACAATCTGGTAGGATGAATGGATCCCAAAAGTAGGTAATGGAGTCACAGACAGCCCTTACGCCCACAGTTAGGAGTCCTACAGGAAGACCAAGCTACACAACTGTAACATACATGCAGAGGGCTTAGGTCAGTCTCATGCAGGCTCCCTGGTTGTCAGTTCTGTCTCTGTGAGCCCTGTGAGCCCAGATTAGTTGATTCAGTGGGTTTGAGGGCAATCTGGCTGTGACATCTGTCACCCTATTGATCGCCAGAGTTTATTCAGCTGATCTGGCTAGCGAGAAATGTGTCCCCTTCCCCCCTTACCACCACATGTGTGCGTCCCTCCTGAAGCCACAAACTCTATCGAAGAGGATAAAGAGGAGGAGAGGTCTTGTCAAATGTGGACACATAGGTGCTCTCCCCTGCTAGAGCCTCCAAACAAGCTATTTTTTCTAAGTGAGCCAATTTTAATTTATATTGGTAGTTCTGGAGATCGCATGTAGGGCCTTTCACATGTTAGGCAAACAGTCTACTACTGAGAGTCATTCCTAACCAATTTCTTCCCACTTAAAAAACTGTAGTGAAAACATGGTATGAGTTGATATTTATGCCGTATAATATGTTTCAACTCAAGTATACCATGTTCAGCCCTGTGTGGCAATACATGCCGATGGTCCTGGCACTCAGGGAACTGAAGCACAGGATTCCAGTATTGAAGGTCATGTTAGGCCACGTCGCAAGTCTTTGTCTCAAAAAGCCAAAACCAAAACAAACCAATAAAACAAACAAAACCAAAAATCAAATATATAATGCATATATTTAAGTTGAATAACTGGTTTTCTTCAAATATATATCATTTTTTGTGTTGGGGAATTCAAAATTTTGTGTTCTAGTTATTTTGAAGTATACAATTAATTATTGGAACGAAATTTTCCTGACTGTGCTATAGATCACTGAAGCAGGCTCCTCCCTTCTAACTGGTCTTATTTTCTGTTCTCTGTCTGTCCTACTTCTGAGCCCCCTCCTAACCAGGTGACCACTATTCTCCTCTCCACCTTCAAGATAAGTTTTAAGTGTGTAAAAATGTAGGTTAAAGACAGAGAGTTAAAGTTTGTACAGCATTGATCCTACAGTGATGTTGAGTGTGTGTGTGTGTGTGTGTGTGTGTGTGTGTGTGTGTGTGTGTGTGTAACCCACAGGCTTTGATTTTTCCATGGTAGCTAGTTGCACCCCATTTACTCAAGGTAAAATCTTTTTGAGTCTGTAAGATAGAAGGGATCAGACAGTGAGATCTTTGGAGGTTGTTGGGAAATCCAATCATGTAAGATTAGATTAAAAGAAATCTTAGGACTGTCTTGACCTACCCTCCCATAGATTAAGTCCTTTATAGTACCAGCAACCTGGGGCTGCAAAACAAAGTGGCTTACACAATAGAAGTACTTTTTTCTTTTCAGTTTTAGAGGCTGAAAAAGCTCCAAATCAAGTTTCAGACAGGCTTTGTTTACAAGGACTCATCCTGGTGTTTCACTGTGTTCTCTTCTGTGGGAGAAGGATGAGCTTGCTCTCTTCTTACAAGACCATGGATAGTTGGGATAGATTCTACCCTTATGACCTCATTTAACCATCATTACCTCCTAAAGACTATATCTCCCCAACAGTCATGCTTGAAGCTTAGGGATCTGCAAATGAACTTGGGCAGGGCATAGAATAGCACACAACCGTTGGCCAGGGTTCATATTCTGTATTCTGGCTGATGTTGTAGGTAAATTTGCATTTTGATTTCCTCTGAGGATGGGTTTATTTTGTCAACTTGGTTTTCATTTCCCTTCGCCATTTTATTACTTTATTTTTTGGTTATGTGTGTATGTGGGTGGGCATGCACATGCATGTATGTTTGTGTATATTGGACGGCTTATGTGCGCCTGAGTGCAGGTTCTTGTGAAGGTCATATAAATGAGAGTCCCTGGAGCTGAAGTTATAGGCAGTCATGAGCCACCTGAAGTGGGTGCTATGAATTGAACTGGGATCCTCTGCAAGAGCAGAATATGCTTTTAAAGGTTGATACACAGATTAATAGAAATGAGTTAAATTAAGATGTAAGAGTTAGCCAGTAAAAAGCTAGAGCTAATAGGCCAAACAGTGATTTAATTAATACAGTATCTGTGTGGCTATTTTGGGGCTGAGCAGCTGGAAAAAAAAACAAGCGGTCCTCCTACTATAAACATGTAATTTATAAATGTGTACATTATATGCATTAATAAAACATCAAGACAGAAATTAAGCTCTCAGTATGGGAGGAGCTCGTGATGGAGCATGCGCTAGTCACACGTGACCATGAGGCCATTGCTGTGTTAGGCAGATCAAAGAGTTATGTGAAGGACATGGAGACCCCTTCCTTGCTCAACCTGTGATGTAGTCAGCGAGGACCAATCCTAATGAGGATGACCTCAGCCTTCATCTGGTTGCTGCCATAATTCTTATAAAACTAATGTAGGGAGCACAGTGACACTCCCCTTCTGAAGCCCCTCTGCCTCCCAGGAGCCTATTCCCACGTGTTTTATGTTTTAGGTACTTTTCTATTGCTGTGATAAAATACGTGAAACTTAGAAAGTATTTAATTTGGGCCTCATAGTTCTAGAAGGTTAGAGTCCATGACCATCGTGGTAGGGCATATGACAACAGGCTTAGCACTGGGGGACTAGCTGAGGGCTCACGTCTTGATCCACAAGCAGGCAGAGAAAGCACATTGGGAATGGCATCAACTTTTGAAACTTCAAAGCCTGCCACCAATGACACATCTCTTCCAACAAGACCATACCTTCTAAACCTTCTCAAACACTTCTACCACTAGGTATTCAAATATGGGAGCCTATGGAAGCCATTCTCATTCCAACTCCTACCCTTTAATAAATCTTTGTTACCTCTGCTAGCTTCCTTGTCAATGATTCCTTATTTCTGGGTGAGACAATGAACTTAGAGATGGCTCAGAGGTTAAGAGCACTGGCTGCTCTTCCAGAGGTCCTGAGTTCAGTTCTCAACAACCACATGGTGGCTCACAACTATCTATAATGAGATCTGGTGCCCTCTTCTGGTGTGCAGGCATACATGCGGGCAGAACATTGTATACATAATAAATAAATGCATAAATTATTTTTGAAAAAGAAGTTACTGCCTGGGGTGGTTTGGTGAGTATTATCTTCTTTCCAGGTAAAACTTATCAAATCAGAGAATGATGCTATTGTACTCAATAGAGTGTTGCCTATACTGTGCTAACTCTTTTATCTGTTACTCTAGTTCAGTGGTTCTCAACTTGTGGGTCACACCCGCTTTGGGGTTGCATATCAGATATTTACATTATGACTCACTGTTATGAAAGAGTTGCTGCTTTCATTGGTTTAATAAGGTGCTAACGGCCAGTAGCTAGGCAGGAAGACATTAGGTGAGACTTAGAGACAGGGGAGAAAGAGAGCATGGGAATGAGGAAGGGTAGAGACATGGAGAGAAGCAAGATGAACTTGCCATGCTGAAAAATGGTACATAGCCACATGGTAGTACATAGATAAGAAATATAGGCTAATTTAAGTTGGAAGAGCTAGTTAGTAACAAGCCTAAGCTATCAGTCAAGCATTTATCATTAATTATTAGTCTCCATGTCAGTTACTGGGGAGCTGGTGGTCCCTACAAAAGCCCCGCCTACAATTCATAACAGTAGAAGCTTTAGCTTGTGTCAAGTTGACATAAAACTAGCCAGCACAAGAATCATTATCTAGATCATTTTCCCATACTCTAGTTGGGCTATTTATCTTTTTTAGATTCCCCTTCATATTAAATTCTGTGTAAGTGTCTATGGGAGTTTGTGTGCATGAGTGAAGCTGCTCATGGAGACCAAGAGGGCCTGAGATACCCTGGAGCTGGACTCAAGGGTGGTTTTGCCCAATGTGGGTCATGGGAACTGAACTCAGGTCCTTTACAAGAACAGTCTGTGCTTATAACCTCTGAGCCATCTCTCTAGCCCTGTTACTTATTTTTTTTAAGATCATAAACTTTTGAAACATATTTTTTAAAAAAAAATGGGACATAATCTGAAAAAATTATTTGACTCGAGAAGCAGATTAAAGACTTTATTTAGAATTAATCATCTGAATTTCTGTTTAAAAGCAGCAGGAAATTTGAAAGTAGAAGCCTGAACGATCTTAAAGGTAAAAATGCAAAAATGTATAATACATGTGATTATGTCAATAATTCTGGTAATGTGAGAAGTCAGGAAAGGAATATTAAGATTACTCACAAAATTCTGTAGAAAAATTATTTTCCATCACATTCCTATATGTTTTATTTGCCAATAACTCTCAATCTGATAAAGTTACCAGTATCTCTGTTGTGATGGAGCTCTAAGAAATTCCCAATCACTATGTAATGAAAGCTTGCCTTTCATTTTAGAAGAAGTGTGAATACTGAGCAAGTTGATATAAATGTGTTCACTTCTAGAGATAATATGCATGTATTATGTTCATGTCTCTCTGTATACATTTATAAATATGCATTAATTTACATACTATATAACGTGTTTTATATTGTGTAGAAAAAGAGGAATTGTAATTTTTCTGTTAGCTTTCTCTAACCACCTCAAAATATACAGACTTAGAACAGCAAATGGTATTTCTTGTTTTGGGAGTCCACTAGGTGGGTTCTCTAGTTTTGTCTCACTGGGTTGGATCTAGAATGTTCTTGTTCTAATATCAGGATGCTGGCTGAAGGCTGACAAAGCCAGGGGTGCCCTGGCCATGTGTAACCATGCAGCAGAAGAGACAGGTCTTGACGACACAGCCGTGATGACAGGGTTCCTGAGAACAGTGGATAGGGACGTCTCTGCACCTTAGGGCTTTTCAGACATCTGTTTGTGCCAGATTCACTGAGTCCAGGTCAGAAAATATCCTGAGACCAGCCAAGTCAGCAGGGACTGATTTTGCAAGGATGCTTTCTAGAAGGAGGGGACATTTGAATTTTTTCAGTTAATAACAGAATCGTTGCATATTTCCCAGGACAAATTTTTCTTTGTAAAAAAGGAAGGATGCTTCCTTCTATATAATATTTCAGTCAAAGACGAGAGACAGACTTTCCCTCATTATCTTAAAATAGTGACATGATTTGGTTCTTTTTGTGTAACTTCAGGCTCGCTGATCTTGCTCTAACTATAGTGAAACTCTGGTTAGGGTCAAGACGGTGCGTGAAGAATGTTTGCCACGATCTTATGCAGCTACGAGTGAATGTTCATAAAGAGGGAAGTCTGGGGCTCTGTTGCCTTTTATTAATATCAAAATCCATACACAATGATTCCAAGAAAGAATGAGGAATCCAGGCATGTCACCAGATGCTCCCTTGTTCCCGCTGGGGAACCAGATCTCCGCCTTGTTCCCAAAAGGCAATGGGGAAGCTTCAGTCCATGGCTTGCTGCCAGCTCAACCACCATCCAAGAGAACCCCCCCCAGACCCCTAACCCCCGGTTCTTATTGGGTCAGGTATTCCCAGAGAAGACCACGCCCATAGGGTCAAGCTGCCCAATACAATTGGTTATCGGACCAAATTCCCACAACATGCTCAGGTACTGAATGAAAACACAATCGATATGATTTGTTTAAAATAATTGGTTCAATATGGTTAGCCTTATCAAGGACTTAATGGTCTTGCAAAAAAAAAAAGGGGGGGGAGGAGCTGTAAGGTTATCTTAAGACGACCTTACTTCCTGTCCAGCAAGCCTGAATTTTCCAGGTCAGTCTGCTGAGACCGTATATAAAGTAAAGCGTGGATGCCATGTTTGGGATGGATATATTGTGCGGTACACTTTGCCTCCGGAATGTCTCCCTGACATCCCCGCAGCAGATACATGGAACTGGAAGGGCTCGGAAGGCTGTACTCGTGGTGTATCAGCTTGAAAAGTATTTATGACCGAAAGACAGAATTTTGTCAGCGTGTATGTGCAGTCTTCCACGCTTAAATTCTTTGCATTATTCTTACAAGTTTCTTTCCTGCCACAAATAAACAGTGTACATTAGCTGAACCAATGAAGCGAAACAGCCAAAATAAGATGTGGAGCTAGATGTAAATTTGATTTGCCCAAGATATTTATAGCTATAACTCCATAGATGGCTCAAGGTTAGTGTAGAATTGGGTGCTCTGCATGGCTGCAAGGGAATAACGGTGCCTTCGGTTTTGCTTTGCAGCTGTTGCACCTTCCTGCCAAGTCCGGCACCCTCTGCAACTTAGGCTTCACCGGCAAAGCATCATGTACCTCCCCACCCTGGGCTTTCTATGGAGCACCGAATCTGCTACACGTGGCCTGGTCAAACAGGTTTTCCCTGGAACCTTAAGACCTCTCCTTCTCTTGCATTCTGCCTGCCTGTAAAGTCAGTTAGAGGGACAGCCAGGGTGCCTTGAACCATGACTGCAGTGACCTCTGGTTACTGTGTAGCTTAACCTTGGAAAACAGTTGTTCCCAGGCTGGCCCCTTTCCAGTAGGGCACCCTTTCAGCTGTCTGCCTGAGCTATATTTTCAGGCACTCTTCTTTTGCACAAAAGTCTTTAAACTGTGTTTGCCTTTTTGCATTCTGGAGCCAATTTTGAACGAGGTCTTGCCATCAACGCACTTTTCCTATTGTCCCAGTGCAAAGCGTGAAGTTCTAATGACACTAATCTAACAATTACAGTCACCTTGTCTGCAACACAATGTGCTTACTCTTTTCTTCACAGTTTACTGCACATTTTTTACTTCTTTCTGTTCCATTTTTTTAACCTAACTCTGCAAAAAGCTGATTAAAATAACAAACATGTCATAGCCTGAATGTTATACTGTCTTCAAATTTATTTGCCAAATAAATTACTCCATTGTTTTGGAATTCAGTCTTCCTAAAGTTTTCAGGCCACTAGTGAAACACGCTGTAGGAAGTCCTACAGCCAGTAGTTACCCGCCCACTGGGGCGTGGCCTCTTATACTATTTATGTCGATGTAGAGCATGCATCCGGCCTCTTTTCCAGCTGTGGGATTCGGTTTCTGATCTCTGTTCCAGCAGAGGATTCTGATTTGTGACTCTACCCCTAAATAAATAATCATCTATTTCTCAATTCTGAGCAAGTGTGGGATTTCTTTTAAGCATCCTTCTTCAGAAACAAAGCCAGATTCTTGGCCAAAAAGGAAGACAAAGAGCCTCTACTTACTCTGGTTACCAAATAGTCTTTGTTTCCTCCCGAGTTCTCATGAGCAAGGTCTTTGTGGAATACATTCTCTCAGTATTCTAGTCTTCTGGATGGTCCATGAGTTCTGCCTACGGCTCCAAACCTTTCCAAATCCCTCCCACAGGCCAGTCTAAAGGTGAAAAATCACATGTTCAAGGGCATCTTTATCACAGCAATGACTCCACTGCTGGTGACAATTTTCTTATTACTTTTTGTTGTGGCAAAATACTTTATGAAGCAAGTTAAGAACAGAAAGATTCATCTTGGCTTATGGATCTCAAGGACCACAGTCCATCATGGCTTGTGGATGTCAATGACCACAGTCTATCATGGAGGGAAGTGAAATGGGGTGCCCTGATCCTTGCTGGTGTGAGTGTGGCACCTCAGCTTGCTCACATGGCCATGAACCATATGGTGATTTGAGTGGGAAGTATTTCCTATAGGCTCATGTATTTGAACTGGTGCGGTTTAGGAAGGTATGCAACTTTTAAGAGATGGAGCCTTTCTGGAGGAAATATATCGTTGGGGGTGGTCTTTAATGTCTTATAAGTTGGCTCCACTTCCAATTCTCTCTCTGCATCTGGGGTGTGGCTACTGTGTGATCAGCTGGCCAGCTTCCTGTTCCCGCCACTCTGCCTTCCCTGTTTATCAGCACACTTTCCCCATCATGATAGACTGTATCCTTTCTGGAATCATAATCTAAAATAAATCATTTTCTACTTTAAGTTGCCTTTTGTCAGCTGTTTTATCAAACAAACAAAAAGAACCTAATAAATACTAGGAGGCAAAGAACAAAGAAATGAACTAAGGCTTAGATAGAATTTCAAAAGTCTTGTCTAGGATAACTGCAAACCAGGACACAACTCCTAAAGGCTCCATCGCCTTCACATTATACCGCAAGTTGTAGGTGGAGAAAAAGCCCGAGGCTGCAGTGGGGTTGTTTCAGATTAAAGCCATGGCATCCTGAATCTCAGAGTGTTTTGAACAATACTGTAGCTATAGGATATTTGGAGAATGAGAGGCTGGTTACAAGAGGGATATGGACCCTTTGAGGACCAGGGACAGAACAGTTTAAAAAGATGTGTTTGGATATCAAGTTGACAAGGGGTGGGGCTTGTGATTCTTAATCTTCATTGTCAGGTTGACTGAGAGGTGCCTAGGAAATAAATTAAGCAAACCTCAGGGGCTTGTGAGGATCACAGAAGGAACTAGGAAGCTTTGTAAATGTGGGCTTTGCCATCTGATTGCATGAGAAAGAGCAAAAAGTTACTTGTGCAAACATTCTCATTCTGTTTGCCTGCTACCATGGGGTGAGTTATTCTCCAATGCATCCCTACAACAGTGGGTGGAAAGCTTTGAAACTCTGAGGTCAAATATACAATGCCTCTTTTGATTTGTACATAAGCCATTCTATCACAGTGATGTGCTTAACACAGACACTAACCCATTCTTGAGGACTCTGATGACAATTTCATTATCTTAAGGATGCCGACTTTTAATATTATGCCAATAACTATTAAACTCCAACATAAATTTGGGAGGGGACATTCAAAGAGAGAAGGCAAATAGTCTGGAGTCTTAGTGTGCACCATTTAAAAAGATGAATTTATGGGGGGAAATAATAACTCAACTTTGACGATTCTAGAAGATAAGAAAGTTCGTTTATCCTCCTGAGTTTGTTAATGCTAATGAACACTGTAGTTAAAAGTTAATTGTGACATCTTAAAATATCATGTATCTACATAGTTCACTTTTTAAAATCTTTATTGTCCTAGAATCCTTTGTAGAGTTTCCAGGGCACTAACTAGAACAACAACAAAAAAGTAGGTCATTTTTGTTGGAAGAGAAGCATCTAAGTTTCATGAGTCAAGAGAGAAAGAATTCTGGCTGTTTCCAAATATGCTCATGAGTGGTCCCTTCTGGCCTTGATGGGGCTTAAAGGCTCTTGTGTAAGTTCAGCAAGTAAAAATGGGGGATGCCTAGTTACATTTGAATTGCAAATAAATGTAGCTTCTTGAGGCAGGTATGACTTGTGAGTATATAGTATAAATACACACACTTATCTGAATTCACATTCAGCTGGGTGTCTTGTATTTTATCTGGTAGTCTCACTCTGGCTGGCTTCCCTTGGCATGATGAGAGAACCAGCAGGAGGCATTGGAAGTGGACTAAGAACAGTTCTCCAGCATGTTCCCTTCTGGCTGATTGCATCCCTTGGCCGGT